GCAAATTCGCTCTTTTCACACTAGTATTACTTTCTTTAAGCTTGTAGAGTCTACGAGAAAAATTATAAAGGCCAAAAAAAAAAACAAATCTTTCAGCAAGGAAATTCTATTTGAGATATTCTGGAGGTCTTCTTTAGCTTACATGTAACGATCTCGTTAAGTTCGTATGGTTTCGTAGGAAGATGTTCCTTATCCTGCAATATTGGATGTTCGTTTCAGTAAGAATTTTCCCAATGTTCAGTTTTGAACTCAAGTATTTTTAATAGTTTCCATCGTTGTTTGGTAGAGGATAATTAACAATAGTGTCTTAATTTCGCTGATAAGCGAGGTAAGAGGTTGAAATTACAGTAAACTATGCAGAAGTTATGGACAGTTACGCCCACCACGGCTGTCAATTGGAGCTATCGTTCATAAAGTCATACACCCAACTTTTCGCCACAATCGATCTCAAAATGTATATGGTATAAGTTAGGGATTGAACGAAATTTTTCATGACTTAAGCTTTAGGTGGAGGCTGCGTATTGAAAGTGCTTAAGAACCTCAGAGAAAAGCCGGTTCCCACAGAGACTAACAAATCGAAAACAAATCAAGATTGATTACTAGCACTGGTAAAAAGAGCGCGAAATTAGCATAAGCAATTTCCTCCAACCGTTCGTTTAGCCTTTTACTTATTAACTTTATTGATTTAAGCGAGCATGTCGGTGAACACTAACTACGCATGTAGTAATGATTGTGCAAATAAGTCTTGATGTGGATTAGATGTCGTTTTTGTATCCCTACTGCAACGAAAACTGGTCCCCAAAAATGGACGCCATGAATTTACTATTTTTGCGTTTCGCGACTGCGCAAAATCTTGACTCTTTATAATTAGGCCTTCACAGTACAGAAACTCTTATACATTTGAAATCCTAACATTTTTTATCTTGTTTGATGGAAAAACGCAACGAATTTGAAAATTTTAGGGTTGTGATCTTAGCTTGGAATAGATGTAATTTTTTTTTGAGGATAAAAACTTAACTCTATCAGCATTTTAAAGACAAGCTTTATACAAAAGTGCATGCGCTAGTATCCTAACAGAAAGTTACTATTTTCATTTTATTTCGCTCCATCTTGAAATTTCAGATATTATCTGCACTTGCTTCTTAAACATAGAATGGAAGTGACGTCGTTTTACATACCAAACTACCCACGAGCAAATAATGTGAAGTTCATAACGGTTATGATCTATCGCATGTATCCGGAGTATACGATCGAATTTCGCGAGGTTATGCTGCATGCTAGACCCCGTCCAGCAGAACAATCGCGGACCTCAACTTCTACAGAACCCAGTGCTGCTAAACCACATGCAGAACACCCTCAATCTTCAACGTCTACCACTTTAACTACTGCTGAATCGCAGAAGGAGCAGACGCAAGCTCCAAAGGGTACTTCGCCCGAGCAGGCCAAGGAACGGGAGAGTGAGCATAGGGATGATGGTCACTTTGAGCACATGGAGCCGGCTACGTAGTTACAGCAGCTGTAAATATGATATGTATGAATGTTAAAGTTTTTTTTT